ATGTGGAAAATATATTATGTGGCCCTCACAGTGAAAAGTTTGGAGACCCCTGGTCTAGAAGGTCAGGAAAGCTGCCTTTTGTCTTGTAGAAAGATCAAAGAGGGTTAAGGGCAATTACATGATAGCAGGCACAGGTGCTAAACGGCCCATTTATTTGTATAAAAATGGGAATTAGGAAACTGAGCAAGATAGCCTAGCAGATCTCTGCAGAGACCTTTGCTTCCCAGCAGCAGTGTGACTTGTGAGAAGACGTTTGTGTGCTGTTTTACAAAGCTATGTGGGGGAATGCTCCGGGAGTATCCCATGGAATGTGAGGGTTCAAAAGGGGCCTCTTTCTTGTCAGAAACAAACACAACACATTCAGTCTTTCAAAAATCAAAAACAGGGTTTATTGAAACATCAAACAAAGGTTCTCCCATTTTGTAATCTCCAACGGTTTTATCTCTCACCGCCAATAGGTCTAGTGGGCATCCAAACATCTTGTAAGAACGGATTGAACACAGACTCGTTCCACTTAGTAAAAGGGTTAGTGTCCTCTAAATCAGGTGAGTCCAAGCTAGTGTCTATCAAAGGAAGGGTCTCCTCATCTCTCCCTTCCAGGCCGAAGGGGTTGTCTCCCTCTGTGAAGGGTACCCAGGGTCCGGTGAATACCTCCTCCGGCCAGCCTTCTCCAGATGCCATGCTCTTCTCTCTCGTTCTTCCCTCTCCACAGCTTCCTTCTCCTCTCTCAATCTCTGCCATTCCCTGACCTCTGATTCCCCCCAGTATGAGGGACGAGGAGGCAGACCTCTCCTCTGCCTGTAATCCGCCTCTTCCCGAGGCACTTGGACTTTTTCACACTTCCCTGTCCAGGGATCCTCTACCCATATTAACTCCCAACCCCCTGATATATCGTCTTTCCTCCCTTTTATATCGCTACTTCCCGCCTCTACCAATGGCCGGCCCCTTTCCTCCGTTCCCGCCTTTTCAGTCCTGGTTTGGGTGGATATAGATATCTTTTCCATCCCCTGTTCCAGGTCCCGGGTGTCTACTCCCTGCTGGGCTGTCACGGCGCGAGGGGCTGGTGGGTCTGTCTGCATCTCTTGTTCTCTCTTAGAGGAGGACGACACTCCAGCGAGGGCTTCAACCCCCTCGCCTCTCATCTCACATGGAACTACTCCATTTCTCTGCTTAGGTATAAGTTAGATAGGGTAGATTAACATTTATTATTTAATTATGCAAACAACAGCTTGTCCCCCAAGCAAGCAGGCTACTTGATCTTCATGTCTATACTTACATAGAAAGAAATCTCTATCCATTTCTTCTTCTTTTAATAAAATACAAAAAAACAAAAAACAAAACCAAAATGAACACCTTTTACGCAACTGCCAGGATCTCTGACTTGAGTTTGGTGCTGAAACCAATCTTAGCCTTGACTAAGATACTGAATTTTTAACCCCCACAAGGTTTCTCCTTTTCACCCTTAAAATTAATTTAATATTTTGTTGTTAGAATTATCTATTCTAAACCAGATCACCTGGTCATTGCAATGCTGGAACAGTTCCTTTGTATCTGTCCCCCAGTTACTTCCCAGAATTACTTCCTGCACTAGCCGTATCATCTCTTTCCACAGTATTAATTTGTCTTTGTTTAGTTGCCTTTGCTTCACAATTTCTGCATGCATCCCTAAATACTCTGCATATGATTTAAAAGTATAAGACCTGGTGGTCTGTGTTTTCATCAGACCTGTTCATATTATTACAACAAATTTGTACTACGCCACCTGTAAAAAAACAAACACTAAAACAAATAAAAAAGCAACTCCGACAAACTAGAGCAGACTGGGAATTGCATCTGTGCTGTGTGTATATTGTGTGAGTGTATACCTATTGCAAAACCCACCAATGCCAGACAGGGAACATGAAGAAATCACTAAAACCCTCTGCAGCTAAGAGCAGCCCCTGTGGCTGACAGCAAGGAACAAAGCATTAACAAAAACAGGAGGGAAGAGATTGAGGGTCACAAATCGAATTGCAGCATACTGACGTGTGGGGAAGATACTTGAAACAAATCTAATTGGGACTATTTGACTTTTACAAGTGATTGACAACAATACATGTAGAACAAAAGGAGACTTTGAACCAACCTGCAACAGACCCTAATCTGAACAATTTGGATGCTTAACGTAATTGCACCCTATGTGTGGTCAAAGACCATCATGACTCAAACCATGATTGCCAACTGTTATGAAACTAATGGATCAAGCAAAAAGCTACAATAAAAATATAGCTTAAAAGGAAAGGAACTTCAGGCCACAGATCATAAGGTGCATCACTTTGTCCTTAGTTCGAATGATAATGGGGTCAGGTTGGTCTGTGGTATGAGGTTCCTTGTTTCAACATTTTGCCTTAGATAAGGTAAAGGTAAAGGTTCCCCTTGACAAATTTTTTTTGTCCAGTCGTGTCCGACTCTAGGGGGCGGCGTTCATCCCGCTCTTCAAGCCATAGAGCCAGCGTTTTGTCCGAAGACAATCTTTCCATGGTCACATGGCCAGTGTGATTTAGACACGGAACGCTGTTTACCTTCCCACCGAGATGGTACAGTGGGGTCTTGACTTAAGAACGGCTTGAGTTAAGAACATTTTGACTTAAGAACTGCTCTCATAGGAAAATATTGACTTAAGTACGTAGATTTGAGTTAAGAACTGAAAAAAACCCACGTGGGAGGCAGGGCAAGTGCAAAAAGTGAACTTTCAGTTAACTGTTGGCCAGTGAAAAGGGTGCCTGTCTTCAGACTGCCTGGTACTGCCTGGACTGTATTTTCCCTGCCTTCCCTGAACCTTTCTTGACCTAAGAAAAAAAGAAACAAAATATCCCCCTCTAGTGGTCGAAGGCGGAATAGCAGCTTCCCATTAGTTTCTATGGACGGAAAAGAGCAGATACGGATTAAATGGTTTTCAATGCATTCCTATGGGAAATGCAGATTTGACTTGAGAACTTTTTGACTTGAGAACTGCCTTCCAATACGGATTAAGTTCTCAAGTCAAGACCCCACTGTACCTATTTATCTACTCGCATTTGCATGCTTTCGAACCGCTAGGTTGGCGGGAGCTGGGACAAGCAACGGGCGCTCACTCAGTCGCGTGGATTCGATCTTACGACTGCTTGGTCTTCTGACCCTGCAGCACAGGCTTCTGCGGTTTAGCCCACAGCGCCACCACGTCCCTTTTATCGGTTTTTGCCTTAGATAGAAAAGTTTTATTCTCAAAAGAGTAGGAAACTGAGCCTTGTGTCACCATCCATTAGAACATGTAGTGATAGATTTTTAAAAAATAATTATTTAAGATAATATTACAAAAAGCAGGACTTCTGTACTGTACAGTATTATCTTTTTCAGAGAGACATGCTGCTGTCCGGCCTGTACGATGGGGATGGACAACTTTTGGCTGTGCAAATATCATGGCCTTCAGTTTCCAGAGATCCAGACCAGCATAGTCAATGAAAGGGCTTGTGGGAGTTGTAGTCAAAAATACATTGATGGCCCAAGCTTTTTCTACCCCTGTACTAAGGACAACAAATTTTTAAGGGTGCATCTCACTTCCTTCTCTGGAGACAAAACCAAACCAATGAAAAGCAGTGTTCAAAGAAGTACCCTGGCTAATCTGCTTCATCATATATAAATTTAAAAACAGTGGCACCTTAAGGAATAGCATGTTTGTTTCTGCTTGAGTGTTGCTGTTATGTGCTGTCATGTCATCTCTGACTTATAGTGACCTTATTAAAGAGTGTTCTCCAAAATATCCTGTCAACAGCTGGGTTCAACTCTTACAGACTTGAGTTTGTGGGTTCTGTTAGGGAGTAAGCCCATCCCATATTTGGTCTTCTTTTCCTGTTACCTCCTGCTTTCCCCTCTGGTAAATCCAGAGCACAGAGTGCTGTCCTCCGAAGATGCCGGCCAAAGAGACTGGCGAAACATTAGGGAGAACAACATTCAGAACACGGCCAAAGAGCCCAAAAAACCCCCAACAACCATTAGATCCCGGCTGTGAAAACCTTTGTGAATAAAATAAATAAATGTGCAACCATTAGATCCCGGACGTGAAAACCTTTGCGAATAAAATAAATAAATGTTCACCTTTCTGGCAGTCCAGGGTAACCCCACAGCTCTCTTCCAGCACATTTTAAAAGAATCCATTTCTCCCCTTAAAGTTGGGTCTTTCATGGGTTACAATTCACTTCCCCAGTCTCTGAGCAAATGAAAGCACAGACTGAAATACATCTTAATGGTGAAGGCAGATGTGCATTGGTAAATGCAGGCAGATGGAGCTGCTTATATCAATAAATAATAAGCAGGTCTTCTGTAAATCTAATAGCTTTCAATTGCCCATTCAGGATCACAACATACTGTATTTCATTTCAGCAGGGACAGTTTGCAACAATATATTGTTCCTAGGAAAATTCATTCCCATCTCAGCTACTGACACGCTTACACCTGAGGTCAGAGAAAACAGGGAAGCGGTGCGTGTGTTTGCAAATGATGGCATAGTTCCAACTACGCGCAATATAAGCAAGTTCTTTATTAGGAAAGTAAAAATACTTCCCTCTGCTGTCGATCAAAGGGGCCCATCTCCACGGATATGACCCTCACCTGTCTGTCATAGCGGCCCCAGGACCAATCACTTTCCCATCCTTGCTTTTCCGCCTCAGACGCTCCGCCTCCTCCCTCCTCTCGCGGCCCTATCCTGAGCGAAGACGGCACCAACCAGTAGTCGAAGTGGGAACGGGGCGGGCCGGGGGGAGGTGACGCGCTGGTGAAAGGGACTTCCGGTTCTTGCAGCATCGCGTCAAGAGGAAGAAGGAAGTTCCGAAGGCCGCGCCTGGAAGGGGAAAACAACTGGCCGTTGCGGTCGATTGGAAGGCGAGCGGCGTTTGGGATCCGCGCGGCGGCTGCCTCCCCTCCCCCTCCCGTTCTGCGCCGGCCTTCTCCCGTTACGGCGCCATGACGTATCCGGGGTTCGGAGCGGTGAGTCAGAGGAGAGGGCGGCTGGAGCGAGCGGGAGGGAGGCCTGCGTTCCTCCGTTTCCCCTTCGGCCTGGCGCTGCAGCCTCCTCACGGTCTCGGCAAGCCGGGCCCCAGGCCCACCCCCACCCCCCACCCCGACCTGCCTGGCGGCTCTTTCAGGCGGGGTGCGGCGAAGGGAGGCTCTCGCCCACCCCCTGCCCAGCCATCCACCCCCGACCTGCCTGGCGGCTCTTTCAGGCGGGGTGCGGCGAAGGGAGGCTCTCGGGCCAGGATGACGCACCCCGGGCCCTTTGTTGGGCGCCATTTCGTTGCGGGCCCGCTGGGTGTCTGCCGCTTTCCCTCATTTCCTGAGGAGTTCGGGTGGGTGGGAGGCCTTGGGGTGTGACGAAGAGAGAGAGAGCGCTCCTCACCGCAGGGGAAGGAAATGGGTGGCCTGCTTCCTTAGCAGGGCTAAACCGAAGAGGGATTGCTGCGATTTAAAAATTACAGGACTAAAAAAAAAAAAACCACGAGGATATAGGCCTGTATTATGTGTTTTTCATAACAGTGTAAGAGTCACGGGGAACGTTATCCTGTTTCATTTTGGGATGTTGAGCCATTATGAAAAGCGCAGGAGCTGGGGTAGTGGATTTATGTATATATATATATTAAATTGGCCCTCACTTATGTCTGTTTCATAAACATCCCTCCTAGTGAAGCTTAGACATAATAACTTTTATTGTCAATGCACAATATGTGTGCAGTGAAATTGAATGAGCCTCCATTGGTACAACCACACAAAGCACAAAAAACACAGAATACATTCAGACACAGAATAAATCTCCAGCCTTGTTAGAAGGTTTGTGCAACTGGCCAAATAAAGGCGTTAAAAAAGCTTTACTAGGGTCTGCTGACTATTGAAAAGGTAGTGCTCCACTCAGACTGTGGGGTAGCTGTGTATGGTTGTGCTATGCTGCCTAGAGTGGTTGCAAGACCAGATAGCCAGGATATAAATAGAATAAATAAATAAATAAATAAAAGAAATATGCAGGCAAAATATTCACCCACATCAATCCCAATAATAAGATTAAATAGAATAAATAAATAAAATAAATATGCAGGCAAAATATTTACCCACATCAATCCCAATAATAAGACGAATAAGGTATCCAGAGGTGCTCTTGTGACCTCTGCATTTTAATAAGGATCCTGCCGCTGTTTTGTTTCTATTAAAAGTTTATAACATATGAATATAACTCAGAAGTTGGTAAGTTTATCTAATTGGAAATAAACTACTTCTGAATATGTGTAAGATTGCGCTGGTAATTGATTTGAAAGCAACAGGTAAAATAAAGGGTTTCAGATTGGTTGATAGCTATTCATCCAGTCAGTGTAAGAAATGCCTTTTAGCAAATAATAGTTGTATTTCAACCACTTCCTTGATGACTCCACATTTTTGAAGCAATGTTCTTGGACCATAATACTTTAGCTTCACAGTTTAACAGAATAAATAAAAGTGACATCAGTTGTGTAAATATACAAAATTCAAATGGGAGTAGCTACAAAATTGGAAATTTGAAAACATCCAGGCTATTTTTTCATTAGCAATAAATAAAATACCATTGGTTGCCAGCCAGCATTTGGATGTGTATGTGTCTTGAAGTGTTCTCTCTGTTTTAACTTCAAGATGTTTTGAAGTCTCCTTTTTACCTTACTACTAAAAACAGTAACATGTGCTAAAACCTTCAAACTTCTCTTCCTTTTAGTGGAGCAGGATTCTGGTTGGCAGACCCTCAGCATTAGGACACTAATGATTATTTCATTGATAAATAGCTCTTGCATTCTTTATGAGTTGCCTTAGTACAGTGGCTTAGACCATCACAGCAAGTGCAGCTGATTTGGTTTGCGTTCTCCCTGATAGTGTATTTTCCTGTGCTGTTTGGAAACCTCTGATTGCTGTAGCCACTTTTTGACATTATGTTGATCTCATCCATATAGTGTTTAGGATATCATAAATGGAGCAAAATGGATATTCTCTTATACTGTATTGAAGTGTTACAGGAGCTATACCATGCTTTTGCTGGCATAACAAAACTTACTGCTATATCAAGAATATCATTTTCTGTAACTGCTCTTTCGATGAGCTGCTGCTTGTTGTATCTTTGCAAAACTATGATACCAATACAAGAATTTAAACATACCCACACTTGGTGTGTAAGACATAGTGAAGCAATGAAAATTTATTTGTCATTGACAATGCAGGTTTGTCTTAAACTGATAAATATAGTGAAACTCATCTCTTTTCTTTACAAAAGTACGGAGCTTATCGTGGTCAGATACCAATGCAAATGGCAGTGGGCCAGTCTGTCCCTGGAGGAGTACCGAGCGTGGCCCATGGAGGATCTCCCGGATACTCTGTTTACTCTGGTGCCTATGCTGCAGCAGCTGCTGCTGATCCATTGTGGACATTCTTCAGTGCTATTGCTGGACAGGTATGTTGAACTTCGTAATTTTCTGGAAGAGTTTTCACGTTTTTGGGTTCAGTGTTGATAGGATAGTTTATCAAGAACTTGTTTGGCAACATGTAATATATCAACAGTAATACCTGTATCGTAGCCCTGTAATTAATGACTAGCCTGCTAGGCTTTTTTGTTGGCCTGCAGTGTCCCTTCCATAGCTGCATGGAAATGAAGGGTACTAGCTTGTTAGCAGACTAGTCTTTTTTTAAAAAAGTCTTCTGCAAACCAGGTTGATAGAGGACAGACAGGGCTTAGGGATGGATGTGTCTTTCTCCCCAGCTAGGATGGAAACCAAGCAGACTGGCCAGGAAGAAATGGAGGGATCCATCCTCCAGCCTTTTTACTTGTCTGCTTATACAGTATTTATGGTCACATACAGTTAACCAGTTGTTAAATACAGGGCTGCTGTATAAAGGTATCAGGGATTTGTTGCTAAAAATGTAGCAAACCAGTAGCAATTGTATATTATTTTCTTCCAAGGGTGGGTGAGGATACTTGTGGCAGGATGGCTGGAAATTGGCTGAGCCACATGGTAATTAGCTTCCCACAGAGCAGGCACTGGCATGTGTGGATTTGGCTTATCATTTTAGGCATGTCTCTTGGGGAGTCTACAGTTTTAATACTGCTTTTTAAAAAGAAATAGTGGTACTATTTCTTCCCCATTTATTTCTGGTCTGCATGCAGACTTCAGATGGAATTATTCCTAGCTAGTGTTTTGGCTATAAAAATACAGATTTAAATGTTGTTTCTTTGCTCATTTTATATGTTGAGAAACACTCTGTAGGGTTTTAATGCGGGTGGAAGATGCTGCTCAAATTTGATAGAGTAACCCCTTGGCTGAAGTTGCTCTGGTTAATCATATTTACAGAGTTATATGTCAGATTAGAATGGGAAGGCTGTTAAGTGGAGTAAAGCTCATTTTTCAAGACTGCATGGGTTATTTAGAATAGTCTAGTTATAAGTCGATGAATGCATAACTGAGGAGCATGCAGAGTGACTGTTTAATCATATTTTTGAGTCTGCATTGGGTTTTTGGGTTGGAAGACGCAAGTACTTTTCACATAGCTAACTATTTCTAGAGTAGCACCAGAGATCTATGTAATCTAGACAAAAGGACTGGTTAAAAGGTTATAGTAAAGATTCACAAAAGGGCATATGCATGGCCCCACAGGTCATTGGTCTCTAGAGCGTTTTGGGACTTGTGATGCCAATATGCATTCTATCAAGAGTGTGGACCTGCAAAGGCAATGTTTAAGAAGAACTTCAGTTTCAGGTGAGTAACCATTGTTCAGATATTCCATCCCTTTCTCTGGCATTTCAATTTGTAGTTTTTACAAGCTAAGGTCTGAGGACACCCATTTGTTACATCCTACATGTTACTGTTTTAGTAAACACAACTCTTCGAAGGCACAACTCTTAATCTTGGTTCGATGTCTTGTCCACCCTAGGAGTACCATTTTGGATTTTGGTATTGAGAGTTTAGGTAAGGTCCAAGGATACAGTTTTCTTTGCATTTAAGTTTGAATGGTTAAAAGGTAAAGGTTCCCCTTGAAAATTTTTGTCCAGTCATGTTCGACTCTAGGGGGTGGTGCTCATCCCCATTTCCAAGCCATAGAGCCAGCGTATGTCCGAAGACAATCTTCCGTGTTCACATGGCCAGTGCGACTTAGACACGGAACGCTGTTACCTTCCCGCCAAGGTGGTCCCTATTTATCTACTCGCATTTGCATGCTTTCGAGCCGCTAGGTTGGCGGGAGCTGGGACAAGCGACGGGCGCTCACTCCGTCACGTGGATTCAATCTTACAGCTGAAGTTCTACAGACCTTACAGCACAGAGGCTTCTGTGGTTTAACCTGCAGCACCACCATGCCCCTGAATGGTTAAAAGTATTATATTTAATGTGTTAACTTTCATCAATAATATTGTTATTCATACCTGTTTCAGTAAAGGCAATGGTATCATTTGCATGTATGTGTCATATTTAAGGCACTTTGGCTCTGTATGGTGCTCCATTTTCAGAGCGGAGGAGCGAAACAAAGTGAAGGAAAGATGCTGTTGAGTATAATTACCTGTGATCTGAGTCAGGATTGCCCTTGCTCAGTAGGAACTGAGATGGACATGAACTTAGGTTCAGAGCTTCATGCTGGTTTATATGCACGGTACCACAGGGGCCGAGCATTCCCTTAAACCACCTCCCCAGCTAATGACCCACTCACCAATTGGAGCATGCTTATACCCTCTTCTATTCAGACAGTCTTTGGCATGGGTTTGTCTGTCCTGCCTCCTTGAATGAGTGGGCATTCAGCCAAGGAGGTGGACCACGGAAGTCTGCACTCCTCCTGGAGACTGGTTGAGGAGCCAAAGAGGAGGAGGAGAGGACTGTGGGCGGGCTGACAAGTGGGGGATCCAGCTGGGGAGGTGGGGGAAGGGAACTCGTGGCACCTGGTGTGCCATGTGTATGAACTGGCCTTAACCTCAGAACCAAGGTTCATGCCCATCTCTAGTAGCAACCCTTTTCCATGAAAGTTTACTCCTATTGAAATGAGCTCCTGCAGAAATATGGTGTTTCCCCAAAAATAGGACAGGGTCTTATATTAATTTTTACTCCAAAAAACACATTAGGGTTTATTTTCTGGGGATGTTTTATTTTACGGTCATGTCATCTTCTGGTTGCTGCAAATGGTGGAGGGCAGGGTTTCACTTAACTGGGGCTTATTTTCAGGGAAACAGAGTAACTATTCAAACATAATATCTAATGGCCAGAATTTGCATGGATATTTATGACTCTGTAAGCATGTTGATGTAATTCAGAATGTTGAATAGCCAGTAATTAATAAATCTCATGTTGTACTTGTATGGCAATTCATGCAACTGGCATCCTGCTAGAAAATCAGTTGGGGTCTTGTTAGTTAGCAGGTGCTTGCTGCTCCATGTTACAGTGATACGATTGTACAAGCTTATATTCACCTGGTAAGCACACATTTAAATGTAACTGTGATAAATCTATTGATAGAGATCCAAACCATATTAAATTTGAATAACTGCTAGCCGCTCTACATTCAGATACCAACTTTGCTTAGTACCTTTTAGTCTGGATTTTAAAAGAGACTTTTTAAAAAAAGATCAGCATGTGTTGCATTTGATAATCAAAGAGAAGCATTATTGAGAGTGTCTTTGTTTACCTGAAGGGATATACTGGGAGGGCATACAAAATATGGAACCACTTCTGTGGGACCTTCTCAGCTCTTTTCTGTTTGAATGGTTGCATGAAGAACAAATAGATACTCAAGCCATTTGTTTTCCATCTAGGGCAGCAATGGTGAACCTATGGCGAACCTATGGCACATGTGCCACAGCTGGCACGCAGCACCCTCTTTGTGGGCATGTGAGCCATAAGTTGCTGGATCGCTACCCCTGGCAGCCAGACCTAAGGAGGAGGCTGCAGCCGCAGTGCTAGTGCCCCAAAAAATGGCAGGCCAGGATCTGGAGCAGATGGCGCTGGCGGGCTGGCTGAGGTATAGGCAGTGGTGGGGTTTGGCATGACTGGAAGTGGATCCTCAGTGGGGTCTGGAGGTACCTCTGTGCCCAGGATTCCTGCTTCTGCCGCCACTGCTGCCACCATTTCCGCTTCGACCACCAACTGCTGGGTTGTGTTTTTTTTTTCCCAGTTTGGGTACTCGGGCTCAGAAAGGTTCGCCATCGCTGATCTAGGGCAATGGATGAGACAGTGTTATGTAGTTGCCAGAGCTGTGGCACTTTAAATAGCTTCTGAGCCTGCTTAGCCCAATCAAATACAGTATATATATGATGGAAAGCTGAGAGAAAAATAATAAATTAAATGATAATTGAATGAGATTGTGGCTGAAATCCTATAGTTCAGCATAGTAACAGTTAGAGCAGGCCTACTGAGTCAGTGGGAATTTTATGAATAAACTGTTCTGTAAATTCCATTGAATTGACCTGTTGTAATTGTGATTCACTATGCTAACCAACAGGATTTCAGCTAGTACAGTGGTGCCTCGCATTACGAGCGCTCCGTTTTACGACGAAATCGCTTTACATTGAAGGTTTTGCGATCGCAAAACGATGTTTCCTATGGGGGAATTTCGCTTTGCGATGATCGGTTCCTTGCTTTGGGAACCGATTCTTGCAAAGCGATGATTCTCAGCCAGCTGATTGGCGGTTTCAAAATGGCCACCGGGTAAAAAACATGGCTCCCCGCTCTTTTCTGGGACGGATTCCTTGCTGCACAGGCAGCAAAAATGGCCGCGCTGTGGAGGATCTTCGCTGGACAGTGAGTTTCAAGCCCCTAGGAACGCATTAATCGGGTTTTAATGCATTTCTATGGGGTTTTTAATTTCGCATTACAATGTTTTCATTCTACAGCGATTTCACTGGAACGAATTAATGTCGTAATGCGAGGCACCACTGTATACTAAAGGATGATTTTGGAGATTGGTGCTTTGGAATAGAATGAGGACTCTGAAAACTACTATACAGTACTGTACACCCCTTTGTGTCCCTATATTGAAGACTATAGCAGTGTATTATGGGACATCACTAGTAGCTCATATGCAGTTGAACCTCAGGAGTGGCTGCTTATCCCCTCAAATTGTAAGGTTGTCATTGTTACTGAACCAGAAGATGTGTGAGGAAATGAAATTTTTTCATAATTGCAAAATGTCTTGTTCATATCTCTTCTGGTAAAGATGAAGAAATAAGATAGAAGCTACTGAATAATTGTTTCAAAGCATCGCTGAAAAAGCAGATACTCAAAGGGCGGGTCCTTATGTGGCATCTTTTCTAGACTCAGTTCTAGAAAGGTGGCTATTGTGTAAATTAGCTTCTCCTTTTTTTGTAAATAGAATAAAATTTCTTTAACAGTTCTGAGGCCATCTAGGAAAAGTGTTGTAAAGTATACTGAAATTACACTGAAATTTTGGGTGTATCCTAGAATTCAGATCCATGGCATACAGCTGAAGTAATTAAGATAGGATTTGATAAAGAGCAGCCAGAATTGGGGATGTGTGGGTCAAAGGTGACATTTGAGAAATCTAGGGAAGTTTCTGTAGAAATGTTTTGAAAAAAAGAAGTTATGTTCCATTAGAAGTAGAATTGTTTAGGTGATAGCAATAACAGAAAAATGAAAAATAATTACCAGTGTGAGGGTAAATGAAATGAGAGAACCTTGTGTATATACAGTGGTGCCTCGCACAACGATGTTAATTGGTTAAAAAAAAACGTTCTGTGAAAACATCGTTCTGTGAAACACCATTTCCCATAGAGATGCATTGAAAACCAGATAATCCGTTCCAATTGGAACGGATTGCCGTCCTTAAGCGAAAATCCCCATAGGAAACATCGTTGTGTGAAACAGTGTATCCACCATTCAAATGCATTGAGTAGGCTTCAAGGCATCTCAATGGGGGAGAAAAAAATTCACCAAAAATTAACGAAGACTCAGAACAAAGCCAGATTAAGTTTGCAAAGGTTTCACAAGCTGCACTAACGAGTCCAAACATTTAAAACAGTTTCTGAGTCTTCGTTAATTTTTGGTAAAAAAAATTCTGCCCCATTGAGATGCATAGACCCCC